GACATACTAGGATTTATGTATTCATTTATGTAATCGTGATTTACTTTTGACATGTTTCCTTCATTTTGCTATTAAAATTATGCTAGATGAGTATCTTTATACCTCTTCCTATATATCTCTCTCATCATGTCTCATAGATTAAGAAATTCCAGGTTTACTATTTACTGGGTTTTTTTTAATTAAAAAAAATTAAGGCCAGGCATAGTGGCTCACGCCTGTAATCCTAGCACTCTGGAAGACCGAGGTGGTAGGATCACTCAAGGTCAGGAGTTTGAGACCAGCCTGAGCAAGAGCGAGACCCCGTCTCTACTATAAATAGAAAGAAATTATCTGGACAACTAAAAATATATAGAAAAATTTAGCTGGGCACAGTGGCACATGCCTGTAGTCCCAGCTACTAGGGAGGCTGAGGCAGAAGGATTGCTTGAGCCCAGGAGTGTGAGGTTGCTGTGAGCTAGGCTGATGCCACAGCACTCTAGCCCAGGCAACAGAACAAGACTCTGTCTCTAAATAAATAAATAAATTTTAAAAAAATTAAAATTGTCAATGATGACAATTCTGTTCTTTTCTAGGCTTCTAGCAGCGCAGGGAACTTGGGAGTACTCATTCCTGTGATAGCTGTGGTGAGTGTTCATTAATCGAATGTGTTAAAACTCCAGATGCCATGCTCATGTTTTGACTGTTCCCTAGTGATACACAGCAAACTCCTTAGAAAAAGGGAGCTTTGAGACCCCAGTGATTCTGTAGATGTGGCTGCTTCAGCCACCACCAGCAATTCTGTGAGGGTCCCATAGGTGTGTGCCCGCTGTGGCCATACCCTTCACTCCCTTTCTTTGTCCTGTGCCCGAACCTTTTTGGTCAACTGACCGGGGAACTCGATTCACCTCCCTTCTTCATGACTCTGAGGTCCCAGGTCTGACTCCACTTTCATCCTCTGTCTCTCACACCCTTGCCCTCGTTGGCGTCTTACACTAATGCTGGGCAGGCCGCCTGCTCCCATCCTTCCTTGACCTCTTCTTGCGAGGTGGCCTGGAGGCCTTTTGTTGGAGCTCTGGCCTTGGAGCTGTGGCCCTCAGTCTCCTCCAGGTGGCGTTGTTGGCACAGCAGGTACAGGCCCTGCCTCCTGCTGTGTCACTGGCATGGTCCAGCCCAGTTTCCATCTTGTCCTCTCAGCCTGTGTCCGCCTCCTCCCAAATGACCTTTGTAGAAGTGGGTTTTCCCTTTCTTAGTCATTCCCAGCTGCCAGTGCTAAGTCCAAGCTCTGCATTCCAGCATTTGTTTTCAACTCTTACTCTTTACCTTCCACTTGACCCAGCTTCTAGTTCATCCTTGTGCCTGCTTCCCAATGCCTTCCCACCTTAGCCTACCCCCAGTAGGTCAAGTCTTGAGCACTTTTATGTGTCCCCTTCACTTTGTGCACCAGAGCTGTTGATCTGGTGGCAGAACTGCTGGGGCAACCTAGGGGCATGGAGGTCGGGCAGGCAGGTGGGCACAGAGAGGCACCTCTCCCAATCTCGGTGAGGTACTTCCTGTGCGCACACCAGTCTACATGTTCATGCTGAACCTAGGGACTTTAGGGGTTTCAATTTTGGCTGGCCAAGTTGGACAAAAATATTAATTGACTGGTTTACTATTATTTATCTTTAATAGTAAAATGTCATGTATTGCATTTTGTGGAATATTCCACTAGGTCACTGTCCTTCTGCCTGTACGCTGTCCTTTTCTCTCCTGTCCCTCCCCTAGTAAGTGGTGATTCAGGAGGGGGAGTGGGGTCTGCATCATTTTTGTGAGTGTGCTTAAGGGGGCAAGGGGGCTGGCCTGCAATGCAATGAACGGTAGCTGTCCACCCAGAGGCTTTGTAGGTTCCCCTGGGAGCCATACCACCTTCCTCCCTGTGATCAGGTGTTCTCCCACAGCCCTCTGAGAATTTCAGTATTGCTGGGACTCACTCTGCCATGGTATTTTTCATTGACACTCCCACTATTTAATTTTTTTAAACATAAATTTTCCTACTTTGTAGTTAGCATTAACTAGTATACACTTGTGTTTTAGAAGTGCCACTGTACGTGTGCCTTTTGTGTGGCCTGGAGGGAAGGGTAGGGGCATGGAGTCTGAGGCACTCTCTCGGCCTGTTGGAGGGGAGACAGGCTGGCTGCAGGCTCCCTGGGAAAGTAGGTTTTAGGGAGACAGGCAGGATGCTTGGGGTGTCATTAAAATCAGTGAGTTCCAGGATCTCTGAATATCCGAATTCTATGACCAATTTATCGATTGTCACTTAGAGTTTAATAAACACATAGAAATCTTTTGGGGCACTTTGTACTTTTAAGGAGTGGTGACTGGTGAAATTTAGTTGGGAACACATGAGTTTTAGGGTTACAAGGGCCCAGGTTGGACTCCTGTCCTATGTGTGGGACCCTGTGTGAGCCTTAGCCTCTCTCTGCTGCTGGGTGGTCAGCATAGACCTAACTGTTACCTATGACAGTTTAGCACAGACTGACTTAAGTACTCCCCTGATGTGACCTTTTGCATAAATAGAGTAAGTATTGTATTTTTAACAAAAGTTAATGATTAGATTATGGGAGAGGAAGCAAATATTTGATTTTATTGCTCAACATAGAGCACAGGGGTCATGCGTACTTACATTTACTTCATGGTTACCCCTTGGACCTTCTGGGAGAAACTAATTTCCAGAGGGTTTGTTTTGTTTTATTTTGTGTTTTACACTTTTTTTCTTTTTTAAAAGAAAGATGTAGTCTGTTTTGGACCTTTGATGACACAGTGTCTCGAATTACTACCAGGAAGCCTGAGTTTGGGTCCTAATGAAGCTGTTCACTTCTCAGTGACCTTTAGGGAGTTGCTGAGAGGGTGGGACATGTGATCTCTGAGGCTTCTTCCTGCCTAGGTTTGACAGTCTTTGTTCTGCAACTTTGTGAACAATATTTATTCAGAAATATCATTGATTAAATTGTGTCTATTGGTATCTAGCCCATTAATTAAGCATTCTGAAAGTTATCTAATGCTTAGAGACCTATGGTTGTTCCACTGTCATAAAGTAGTGATTTAATAAGATGTGCCTTCTGCTCAAAAAACATTCATGTACTTAGAGCAAGGTTACATGTGTCACTTTTGTGGCCTTGAACAGGTTACTTATTCTCTCAGTGCTTGTAAAATGAGGCTAATGGATTAGCATTTTTTAGGTCATGGATGACCCTTTTGAAAGCTGTGCACTTTCTTGCCATAGAAATGCATCTTATTCTCAGGATTTTGCGTGTAACTTCACGATGTTAAATGGGAGAAGCCCATGAGGGCCCCCCAGTTAGGCAGCCCAGGGCTAGATGCTGTCTTAAATTAAAATATTAATGGGGTGGGGGACCATACCTATAATCGCACCACTTTGGGAGGCTGAAGTGGAAGGATCACTTGAGACCAGGAGTTCAAGATCAGCCTGGATAACATAGACCCTGTCTCTAAAAAAAAAATGTTAAATTAGCCGGTTGTGGTGGTGCATGCCTGTAGTCCTAGGTAATCTGGAGGCTGAGGCAGGAGGGTCACTTGAACCTGGGAGTTTGAGGTTACAGTGAGCAATGATCACATCACTGCATTTGAGAGAGACTCTTTTTCAAAAAAAAAAATGCAGAATTGAAGCGAGGAGTGGGTCATCATTAGTATCAGATTTCATGCAGATGCCAAGAGGTTATGACAGGGAGATTTGGCCTTAACTCTGTATTGTCCACCCCAAGCAAAGTGCTGGAGGCAGGCCCTGGTGCAAGAAGTCAGGAAGGGAGTGGGTAAAGGGGGTGATCAGGGAAAAGCAGGCTTCCTGGGACCCCTGCCTAGGTGTGGATCAAGCACATCCCTTCCCTTCTGTGAGTTGTAACTGCTTCTGCAGTTGTAGAAAGCAGGTGACAACAGTGCCAGCCTCCTAGGGTTGGTGTGAGAGCTCAGTGGGATTACCTGCAGTCTTGCCCACCCAAGGCAATGGTGTCCCTGTCAGGATTCCCCTTTTGCTGCTCCCATTACTGGTATTGGTCTCATGGAGTCAGAAGCCTTATAGGACAGGACTCCCTGTGTGACCCTGCACTTGGATCCCAGCCTACCATGTACTGTAGCAGCATCTCTTGGCCAGTTTTTGGAAACCTTCTAACCCTTGTCTTCCTCCCCTGCCGGCCTCTGGGGTTACAGTTAGACAGTGGCATACACACACTAGTGACTGTTGTTCCTGTGGTTGTCAATTGTCCTTCTCACTGAAGGAGCGCTAGCACTGTTGGATTCTGAACAGCCTCTTTGGATTCCTCTTGTCTTACCCAGGTAGTGAAGAATACAGAAACATTTCCTCAGATGTCACCTGCTCTCAAACCAGACCCACTGCAGGCCCAGATTTGCAGGATGAAGCTGAGATGCACACCTGTTTAAAGAGGGTGGAAGCCCCTAGGCTTGGTGCCACTTAGAGCACCGCATTTCAGGGGAACCATGCAGACCCTCCCCAGGACTCAGCAGCACACATGTCCTGTCCTGAGAGCCTGCCCTGCTATGGCATATCAGGAGCCGTGTACCACTAGAGTGATTTTCTGTCAGCCTTTGTCATTCCTGGAGATATCAGCTCTTTGACTTTACCTTTATTAATTATTTGAGCCTCAAAAAATAGAATTATATGGTGGTTCATGCCTGTAATCCTAACACTCTGGGAGGCCGAGGCGGGAGGATCACTCAAGGTCAGGAGTTCGAAACCAGCCTGAGCAAAAGCGAGACCCCGTCTCTGCTATAAATAGAAAGAAATTAATTGGCCAACTAAAAATATATAGAAAAAATTAGCCGGGCATGGTGGCGCATGCCTGTAGTCCCAGCTACTTGGGAGGCTGAGGCAGAAGGATGGCTTGAGCCCAGAAGTTGAGGTTGCTGTGAGCTAGGCTGATGCCACGGCACTCTAGCCCAGGCAACAGAGTGAGACTCTGTCTCAAAAAAAATAAATAAATAAAAAATAAAAATAGAATTATAGCAGATAAACATGGAAAAGTAGCTATGTTTATTTATCTTTAGGAAGGAAGACATGGCTATGTGTACATACTGTTCTCCAGGTAGGTGAGATGACAGATGGCATTTGGCATGGATTTGAAAGGTCAGGCCTTGAGAGAATTAAACCCTAACATTAGCCCAGGGCACCCCTCATATGTCTAGAGGATGCTTCTCCCCTGAGCATCAGGAAGGGTGCTAGTATGTACCCTCCTTGGGAGAGGTGAGAAATTAGTCATGTGACCTATTTCTGTGTTTAGTGTTCAGATGAGGGGCCTGGTTGAGAAAGGCTCTGAGTAATAGAGCCAGGTTTGCTGTGAGGAGGCAGGAGGGGTGAGGTCTGCCTGTTGCTGAGACCCTCTAGCTAGCAGCTGGCATGCTACAGTTACATTAACTTTTCTACAAACTTAGGGCATCAGTTACTGTGCAGATTTGATTCTAAGTTCAGAATTGAACTTCTCAGTCGTTTGTAAGTGCCTTCTCTCATATGGACCCCGAATTGAGATTGGTAGCATAAACCACAGAGGTCATGATGTTCTCCTTAGAATGGGAACAAAATGACAAGAGTGCCCCAAAACACTCAGACACCCAGGCCTCCACCTCTAAGACCTGCTGGGGTTGGCCACTCTCCCCATGAAGAGCAGGCAGCTGGTGCGGTGTTCATAGACGAGGAACAGAAAGGGGCGGTCGACAGTGAAACGGACTTGGGTGGACAGCGGCATGAACCCAACCGTGGTCACAGCGGCGGCTTGGGTGCCCTCCTCATTCACTGTGATGGTGCCTTGGTGCTTGAACTGTTTGGAAAGGAAAGTTAATCAGATTCCATAGGTTGGCACACAGAGGGCTAGAGCATCTAGCGCAGTCTCAGCTCACTCAGGAAAAGGGTCCAAAGACCACATACAAAGCAGAAATCATATCTGCCCGGAATTACCCTTGAAAATAGCTTTTATCACCTGTCAAGTGCACTAGTTGTGCTTAGAGGCTGTGTGGTATTACTCTAGGGTTCTGTTTCCTCTTGGCAGTGGCCATGGTCTGAGGGCCTGGTGGACCAGGATAGCTGGCGCAGCCCCAGCTCTTCCTGCCCATGGGGTGTACTTTCATGGGAAAGGGGGGCCTGGGTCTGCTGCACCTTTTGACCCAGTGTTCTGTCTTCTTTGCTGAGTGTCTATTGTTGGTGTGTTAACTTAAATGTGCGGGTAGTGCAGTTCTTCTGTGTTTTTAATGGGTCTTTCATGATCTGCCTAGGGATTGATCTGACTAGAGCATGCATCTCCCCTCTCTCTGGTGTCAGCAGGAGCGGGTCTTACTCCAAGGCCACACCCTGTGGATCCTGCCCGCTAAGCTCCTGCCAGATGCAGTACTACCCTACCCAGACCCAGGAGAGCAGATGCAGCACCCCCACCCAGGAGGTCAGATTGAAGGGTGGGAAGGACAGATGGAAGCAGGGGAGACCTCCTCTAAGGGAGACCCCAGGATGGGTACAGGGGAAGACGCGGGAGCAGTTACCAGGTCTATGGTGATCTTTTCGTCTGAGATGCCTGCCATGTTGCCATTTTTGTCAAACAGTGCTGTGACCCCCATTGACTTCAGGGGCTCCACCAGGTTATAGTTCTTCTCCAGCTTGAACTTTGGCAGAAGCACCTCTCGAGTTCTAGTTGGAGAAGGAAAGAAAGTCCAGTTTTATTGAACCACAAGTTACAAAAGAATCATGATTTTTCTTTTAAAGATCCATAGCCTAGCCCCCCAGGTTGCATTTGCCACAGAAGTGACACCGCACTTACTAAAGTTTATCTCCCAGGACTGTCTGCTGATGATTTTGGAAAGCCCATCCCATTGTAGTTCCGGTTACTGAAAATTGAGACATTTTAATTGTTGTGTGGTCTTTTCCTCGACACTGTGTGATTCATTTCCTGTTTTCAAGGTTAGCGGCAGAACTTTTAGTGGTTTATGGTTTGAGAAGGTATCTGAAATAATTCCCATGTTTCATTCCTGATTTCAGGCATTTCTTGTTTTGTTAATTAAGGAGTTGACTATCTAGTCAGTGAACTTAGTAAAAGAACCCATTGGATCTATAGCAGACAGCACTAAACATCCTCAAGCTTTGCCTTGAGGCACTCAGTGGGGCTTGCCAGAGGGATCTGCAGGCCAAGCTGAAGAGCTGGTGAGAAGAGGGATTAGACATGGTGTCTCAGGAACACTGATTTGGGCTGGTGCTCAGGTGGGCTAAGGAGTGGAACATGCAGGCTGGCTAGGCCTCCCTAGGGTAAATTAGGTGGAGGTCATGGGCAGGGAGGTTCAGAAGGAGGCAGCTACAGAAAGAACATTGTTAAGGAAAAATCTACAGGCATGACAACTGGCTACCTAGGCAGATAGCCTTCCTCTAGGACCCTTCTTCTCTCTTTCAGTTTTGTTGCATTTGTGCTCTTGTACTGTAAGGAGACCCAAACCAGATTCACTTTTTCATTATGGGCCTAACCCATATCCAATAAAATAGAAATAAAATGTCTCCATTCTTTCTGTCATAATCCAAAAATAATCTTGGTAAATATTTAAAACCTGCAGTTTTAACTAGGGAGTAGTGAATAATAATAGAGTAAAATTATGAATGACGAATCTGCTAAGAGAACCTTGGGCTAAGAGAACCTTGGAATTCCCTGGGTAGGGCAGGGGACAGCCAGTCTTTGTTGGATGCCTCCCAAGGGTCCAGGCACTGGGAGGCTCAGGGCTCAGTGTTGCTTGTTCTATTAATTCCTCACAGCAACTCTGGCAAGTGATGGAATTATCCCCGTTGCAGGTATAATGAAGCTGTCACTCAAAGCCACAGAGCAAGTACATAGCAGAGTGGGGATCGTTGCCAAGCTGATTCCAAGTCACCTGCCCCTAACTTCTGAAACTGCCCTCTGGACAGCAGATGTGTCTTCCCAAATGTTCTCCAGTCATCTCTCAGCAAGCAAGTAATTTGGGCTGAATTAACAGAGAGTGGCCTTGTATGGCAGTTCTTGGGTAGTTTATGCATACTTCTCCCTTTCTCTTAAAATGACCAGAGTTCTAATATTCCTGGACATCCCCAGCCTCCAGGAGACCAGAATGACAAACACAGACCCTGAAGTACCTGTTTGTCATGCTTTTTTGCCATCTCTCCACCACCTGGGGCGTCAGCTGTGCTTCGAGGGTCTTCATCCCAGACAGCTTGTGTGGGACCACAATGAGCATGCTGATGCCCCCCACATACTCCAGCTGGAGGATGTCACAGTCAAGCTCCTGGTCATTTGCTGCAAGGAAGTTCCCTTTGGTCTGCATCATGGGAACCTTAACCACTGCTCGCTCATTCAAACGGAAGTTGTGGTTGTGTGTCATTTCCACTGGGAATTTATTCACCCAGGATCCTGTAACGTCAACAGGGACAGGCTGTTATTAGCATGTTCCTTCGGGGTGTGGTCCTCACCCTTGAAAGTGCATCTGAATCTGTGTTGGAGGGCTCATCCAACAGCCCACAAGGCCCACCCCACCATCTCTGATTCAGAGTCTGGCTTGGGCTGAGAATTTGCATTTCTTTTTTTTTTTTTTTGAGACAGAGTCTCGCTTTGTTGTCCAGGCTAGAGTGAGTGCCGTGGCATCAGCCTAGCTCACAGCAACCTCAAACTCCTGGGCTCAAGCAATCCTGCTGCCTCAGCCTCCCGAGTAGCTGGGACTACAGACTTGCACCACCATGCCCAGCTAATTTTTTTCTGTATATATTAGTTGGCCAATTAATTTCTTTCTATTTATAGTAGAGACGGTCTCGCTTTTGCTCAGGCTGGTTTTGAACTCCTGACCTTGAGCAATCCACCCGCCTTGGCCTCCCGGAGTGCTAGGATTACAGGTGTGAGCCACTGTGCCTGGCCAGAATTTGCATTTCTAATGAGAGGTTAACAAGAGAGGTTAAGTGGACTGGAGAGGACTGTGGTCTGACACTAACGAGTTGTTTGACCCTTGCAAGACACCTAACTTGCCTGGGCCTCTGCTTCTTCATCTGTCAAAGGAGAAGCTTTGAGCTCCTTTTAGCTGTTTTGATGGCCTTTGTCCTTCACACTGTAATTCTTAGAGACCAGCAAGACACGTAGGTGATGGATGTGTCACCCTCAGGATCTTTGCTGTGGATTGGGCTCAGCACCATGTATCCAGGAATAAGTCCATGTCTATTTTATCTCTAAGATACCGGTAACTAGTAGCGATGGGTGACCAGCAGTTGAGAACTGGCTGTGTGCTGGGCATTCTTCTGAGCACTTTTCCCATTATCTCAGTTCTGCTCCTAGCAACATGATGTGTGTGCTTTTTGTTATTATCCCCATTTTACAGATGAGGAAACAGAGGCACAAAGAAGTGAAGTAATGTGTTCCATGTTTCCAGCTGGTGGATAAAGCAGCTATGATGAGCAGAGCAAGAAGTGTCTTGGGTGGAGGTTTAAATCCCAGACAGCTCCCACCTACCTCGGAATGTAGCTCAACTCCCTTCTCCCTGAGTCTGCCTTGCCCAGGACTTCTCAACTGCAGCACTATCGACATCTGGGCCAGATAATTCTCTCTGGTGGAGGGACTTTCCTGGGCATTGTAGGGCGTTTAGCAATACCCCTGGCCTCTTCCCACCCTATAGCAGTGGTACTCCCCCCACCAGTTGTGACAACCATAAGTATCTCAGACCTTTGCCCTTGGGGGCAAGCATGCCCCATCAGGAATCATTGCTCTTCCTGGTTCTGATGGAGCCGTCACATATCTCCTGGGATTCTTTCCTTCTTACTTCCTACTGAATTTCAGCCTCTATTTTTATTGTGCTTTACAAAGTGATTGTAATATTCAAAATTGAAACCAGGTGCTGTGGCTCACACCTGTAATCCTAGCACTCTTGGGAGGCTGAGGCGGGAGGATCGCTTGATGCCAGGGGTTTGAGACCAGCCTAAGCAAGAGTGAGATACTGTCTCTACAAAAAATAGAAAAGTTAGCCAGACATGGTGGTATGTGCCTGTAGCCCCAGCTACTCGGGAGGCTGAGGCAAGAGGATCACTTGAGCCCAGGAGTTTGAGGTTACCGTGAGCTATTATGATGCCACTGCACTGTACCTGGGTGATAGAGCGAGATTCTATCTCAAAAAAAAAAAAATTGAAATCAAATTAGTAATGAAGATTTGGGAGCTAGAAATTGAAATTACACTTCTAAACAAACCTCTCCTTTGAGTATTGGTGAAGGACTGGGTGCTTTTAGCATTCAATCCCTTCTGATTCCCAGCATTAAATTAAGTGACAGGGAAAGGAAGCACATGTTTGCCCCTTTCCCACTGCACTCGGGTTGCTGTGTTCAGGAGATTGTAAACTGGCTGTGCCCAGCTGTTCCTCCACCCTCATGCCGCAAGGATGGCTTGCCGTGTTTCTCTGCCTGTCCCTGCACACCTGGCCAGGGCTAATGAAGAGGCTCTCCGGTGTACCTGGGGGCACTGACAGCCTGCCAGGACTGAGGGCTTCCAAAATATTGCCACATTAAGTGCTGTGTCACTATCTCTTACAGTTCTCCCCACAGCCATGTTGAAGTAGGTGTTCTCTCCCAGATTAAGATAAGGAAACTGAGTCACAGAGCCATCGAATGACTTGCCTGAGGTCACACAGATGAGAAGTGGTGAAGCCAGAACTCAGACTCCTGTTTGTTCAATTCCAAAATTCTTACTTATAACCACTAATGAAAGAATATGTGTATGTTCATCATATATATATCATGTTTGTGTGTGTGAATGTCACAGCCTGTTGGAACTCAGCCTTCGATTCCCATGAGAACCCAGCCTCATGCCTGGCTTTGTGGTGGAAGTTCTGGTGTCAAACCTCAGCACTCCAGTTCATCCCTACGGGCCTGGCCTCTTCAGCCCCCCTGGGGGGGCTGCCTTGTGGAGTGGAAGGGGTCTTAGCTGAGGCACAGAGTAGGTGTACTGACAAGGGGTGGGGGGTGCTTTGGCCACCCTTCCTCAAGCAGAAGCCAGAAGAGGGCCTCTGACTTTGGTATGTCTGGGCTGCTGTAAATCCGTGCTGAGGCTAACTAATAGGAGGTGCTGGCCTCCCAGGCCTCAGGGAGTGGCCCTCACTGGTAGCTGACAGCCCTTGGTGGCAAAGAAAAGTGGTTGTATGTTGTGGCAGTTAGTGCTAAAGCTGAACCATTCCTTATGCCTGCACCTCAGAACACTCAGAGACTGAAGTAGAGGTTTCTTCTGCAGGTCCCAGTGAAGACATTTGAAAAGAAAGGTCTGGATTTTATAAATCCATGCTCATTTATTTCTAGGCTTCCAGGGGTCCTCTGTGTATGTGGGGGGCAGGGTAGTAGCCTCCTTAAAAAGTACCCTAGTGCCTCGCCCAGAAGAAACAGTGGTGTATTTCCCCATGCCCACCTGCCCATGAGTGCAAAAATATCCTGGAAAGCAGTCATAGGTGTTAATATCAGGCGCTCAAGCTGAGTATTTATCAGATGCATTTCTTCAGCCTCTTGGCCATATTCCTGCTTATTAATAATTGGGAAAGGAAATGAAAAAACTCAGAGCCACACTGGCCAAATATTAAAAAGGTTTTTACATTATTCCTTCCAATTTAACAAATCACGAGTGACGGCTGGCCTAGGTGCAGCATTGACTCTGCTCCTTACTAGCTGTGTATGCCCTTGGAGCATGTTTTCACTTCTCTGCCTGGCAGCTTCATCTATAAAATAGGAACACTTACAACTGATGACCTCACACAGTTGTGGTGAAGATTCAGTGAGCGTAAAGCACAGGGTTAGGGCTCGTGAGTGCCAGCTGCTACTGCCACCTCAGCATGGCCTTCCCTGTCCGTGATTCCACCTTGTGTCTTGTTCTCCTGAATAAATTACAGCTAGAATACAGGTCTTGGCATTCAGCACACCCATGTACTAAATGAGCGCATGTTGCGAGTTTGCTCTGAGATGCAAAAGCCTATTTCTTACCTTTGAAGTAGATGCAGTTTAGAATCATCATCTGGGTAACGGGGTCTATATTCTCCAGAGCGTCTTTTATGAGGCCCTTGGTGAGCTTCAGGATGTGGTTGTTGGTTTTTGATATGAAGGCAGGATCTGAGAAGTCCGCTGCCTGGGCCTCTGCGAAGTAGTACTCTTTTACTTTAGTTCTGAAGTCATCCAGGATTGGAAACTGCTTCTGGACATAAAGGTCATTGACTGACCGCAGCGTGTACCCAAAGTTCCTCCTGAAAAGGCGATGAGTCAACTTGCGGAAGAGATTATGAATGGTCGTGATCTCGTACTTGCTGCTGGCGTTAACAAAGTCCTTAAAATGCAAAATCGAGTGCACTTGTTCATGGGTCTCTCCCTGTAGGCCCAGGGAGATCATGCCCATTGCGGTAGAAATGCCAACGGGCGCCATGAAGATGTTATCAAACGTGTTGGCCTGGTCCTTCAGTGCTCGGTAAAGGTTGAAAGCGAACTTGGCATTTAGGATGTTAAGGCGCTGGATCCGGCTCTTGCCCTGGAAAAGCTGGAGGATGTTGCCAGCACTTGCTTCCGAGTCTGTTGGGGAAACTGGCAGGCTGTCGATGATGTCGATATAGTCGTCGTCTTCGCTGAGTATCTTGTCTAGGTCCAGATAGTCGTCGTCCTCCTCGCCCTCAGGAATCCAGTCGTTGGTGACTGTGTTTTCCTTGTGGAAGTCGGCAGGGAGAACGAGTGTGCTCAGGTTTTTGTTATTTAACTGCTCCCCCAGGGGATCCACGGACTTAGCAGTTTCTCCTCCCTTCTTGAGCTGGTCCAGTGGACCTTTGTTGCCCACACACACAGATGTTATGATCAAGGAAACCAGAAGTGGGTGGAACAGGTGTTTCATTTTGGCAGAGCTAAAGCTGGGAGGGCAAACAGACAACACGGTGAGAGGCGGCCTGGCAGGCCCCACCTCCCTGCAGCATCCACATAGCAAGTTCCCTGTGGCTTTGGCCCAGGAAGGTGCCCTCGCAGCACCAGTTCTTAGCTGTTTTACGATTATGGACTTTAGGATCATCCAATGAAGATAAACAGACACCTAACATTTTGTGTGGGCTTTAAAGGTTTACAAAACTAACCTTCTGGAATCCTGGCAGTTCAGGGGTCCTGGGGAAGTCTCTTTCTAAGTTACTCACTAACCCTTGTCTCCCACCTCCAGACAGCATATCAGACACTGGAGTTGCAAGGGCCTCCCCATGGAGCCAGGGGCACAGGCCAGTCGGGACAGACGTGTGATAAAGTAAGGGCTCTCAAAATAACATCCCTGTCTCTAATGAGGGGCAGTGGCTAGATTCATACCAAGTTGGATGAGCCTCCCAGCCCCCCATTGTTTGCTCAGGAGCACCAGGATACTCCCATACTGCCTGGGCTTGGGGAGTAGCTTCCTAGCTAGACTCCCTGCTGCCAGCCTCCCTCCTGGGATCTTCCCCTCCAGTACTGTTAAAATAATCAGCTGGAACATTGTTTCAGTCACAACTGAAAGACTTTTGAATTATACATTTTGGAGAGGGAAAGACTGACTTTGAAGAAATTTGTTAACTTTTCTGACCCTCCCTCTCAGCACCTGGCAGAGGCTGCAGTGCCACACGGAGTCTGCCAGTGGAAAGCAGTTTCTAGAAACAATTTCTAATGTGTGTGGCTGCAAATAGAGCTGGGCCTAGATTCCAAATAGAATCAGGCATGGGTGTCAATGGCAATACACTTTAAAAGGTTACAAGAGAAGAAAGTGGGCAACTTGCTCCTTGCATGGCTACACTTAAAAGTGTCCTTTCTCAGATAAAAATAAGGTTAAAGAACAAAACAAAACCCAGCTCAAATAAATAAGCATTCAGGAAGACGAATCTGAGGCCAGATAGGAAGGCAAGGTGAAGGCATTCATGTTTTTATCCTGGTATCAAGAAAGAATATTTGGTAGCCTCTTACACTCTATTCCTACATTACATGATGAAAAGCCAAAAGTAGTTTTTACCAGAGGAAGGAGAAAATATATTTATTTTCTATGGATTGAAATTATGAATCTAAAAGGTAAATCTTCTTATTATGACATTTTAAAACTATCACTAGGTTATGATTAAATCCAGATTACTATCTTTGAAGAGAAGCAATTTATTTTTTTTAGACAGAGTCTCTCTCTGTTGCCAGGGCTAGAGTGCCATGGCGCCGACCTAGCTTACAGCAACCTCAAAGTCCTGAGCTCAAGCGATCCTCCTGCCTCAGCCTCCCAAGTAACTGGGACTACAGGCATGCGCCACCATGCCCGGCTAATTTTTTCTATATATTTTTAGTTGGCCAATTAATTTCTTTCTATTTATGGTAGAGACGGGGTCTTGCTCTTGCTCAGGCTGGTTTCGAACTCCTGACCTTGAGCGATCTTCCCGCCTCGGCCTCCCAGAGTGCTAGGATTACAGGTGTGAGCCACCGCACCCGGCCAAGAGAAGCAATATATATATATATTTTTTTTTTTTTTTTTTTTTGAGACAGAGTCTCGCTTTGTTGTCCAGGCTAGAGTGAGTGCCGTGGCGTCAGCCTAGCTCACAGCAACCTCAAACTCCTGGGCTCCAGTGATCCTTCTGCCTCAGCCTCCCGAGTAGCTGGGACTACAGGCATGCGCCACCATGCCCGGCTAATTTTATATATATATATCAGTTGGCCAATTAATTTCTTTCTATTTATAGTAGAGACGGGGTCTCGCTCTTGCTCAGGCTGGTTTTGAACTCCTGACCTTGAGCAATCCGCCCGCCTCGGCCTCCCAAGAGCTAGGATTACAGGCGTGAGCCACAGCGCCCAGCCAGAAGCAATATTTTTTAAAGATAAATCATTCAATCCAAGGAAGAACACAGGCTTGTTTAAATAATTTTTTAAAATTATAACAAAAGGTAAATCATTCAAAAGTTTGTTTTCTCTAGGAACTTCATATGGCACTTTTTTGTTAATTGCACAGAACCAGGTTGGCATTCTCAGTTGTGCCTCGGAGAATAACACTGAAATCCTGTCACATCATCTTCAGGCCCAAACAGAGTAGGCGGAATGAAAGAGAAGGGACTACCTGAAGTTTGGAAAAGTTTATATTTTGAAATAACTTCAAACTTACAGAAAATTGAACGAATAATGTAGTAGAACAACTTCTATATACCCTTAACCCAGATTCACCAGATATTTACGTTTTAGAACATTTTACCTTATAATTTTCTATATCTCCATATATGTGTGTATGTATATATACATGTTTGTGTACATACATGTATGTATGTACACACAGGCAAGCACATACTATTTTTTTTCTGGACCATTTGAGAACAGGTCTCTTATATCATGTCCCAAACCTTTAATACTTCAAGGAAAAATGCCTAAGAGCAAAGATCTTCTCATACATAATCACAGGACAGTTATCCAATTTGAATAATTTAACATAGGTATAATACTTTTGTCTGTTCCATAGTTCTGTTCCAGTTTTGCCAATTGTCCCAGTAATGTAACTAACAGAATTTTACAATAGGCATGTTGAAAAGTAAAAATATTTTTCTACTTGTAAGAGTGTAAAAAGCTTCTGAATTTGAGGTTCAATAGAGAAATGAACTAGTTGGCCATCTCTAAACACCACAAATAAGAATTTATAATCAGCAGAAATAGTAGAAACCAAACTTACCTCTGTGCTTCTGAGAAGTGGTATTACAGAGATGAAATCAGCCAAGGTCACTAGTCGGGTTTTGATTTGAACTTTGGTGCTGGGCTGTTGTTGCGGATTTTCCAAAGTAAATATGTCCCAACACAAACATCAGGCAATTAGCTTGGTCAGCACAAACCCCCTCAGCTGTGTCTGTGATCACTGCTGAGTGACTCGCAACTGCTCGGCTCCATGTAGCTGACGTTTTTTTAAATGCATGGCGGTCACTGTGCCAACGTGCCATGCTGATGTGCATGCACAGCCTTGGTGCAGGAGCCGCCCTTGCTGAAGTCGCTGCGTGACCGAGGCTCTCTTGAGAGTTCTGGGGGCCAGGTTCCTCAGGGTGGCTCCAGTGTTCCTCTGGAAGTAGAGGTCACACATCTGCCTCCCACCGTCATCTCCTTCTGGGATGATTTGCAGCATGTGACCTTGCCCTGATCTGCAGGGCTGACATGGCTGGTTTGGGGGCTAGGCAGGTGTCCCCATCCTTCCATGAGCTTTTTCCTCAGTCAAAAGTGGAGGGAAAAGAATGAGATTAGAGGCTTATAGAATAAGGATCATGGAGACCCTTTCTTCAGTCAAGGGTCGCTGTGTTTGTTGTCAGAATGTGCAGCCCAGCTCCGCCATCCACTACAGATGGGGTATTACTGAGCAGTGCTTGCCAAACTGAAGGCCACCTAGGCAGTCATGGAGATCTGTGGGGCTATGACAATTTTTCTTAAATTTGTATCTTTAATTTAGTGATCTAAAAAGTTATTATAAGACTATTTTGGATTGTCTAGAAGATGAGCTTATCACAGAGCACTGCTCTCTGATGATTTTGGTGCCTGAGAGTATGTTTGGGAGTGTCGCCCCCAGAGCCCATCTGAAGGGAGAGCGCAGTTCAGATGGGAGAATCTGCAAGAGTGTCAGGGGCTTCTGGGAGGTGTCTGTGCATCTCTCTGAGAAAGTATGGTGTGTAAAGGGCCATTGTCTTCAAGACAGGGACTGTGGTCCAGTTTGAGCCGGGTTGTAGCTTTGGTCAGAGCTGTTTTCTCAGAGCCTTCATCTGTCCTGCTCAACACCAAGTCTTCAGCATGGCACCACCATGCTGGCTTACAGAGGTTATTACCTGCATCTGGGCTCCTCCTCAGGGCCTGCTGAGCCCCACGAGAACTGCTTCTGGCCAGCTCCCTCATTCTCTGTCTTGCTCTCACATGTGCTCAGCCTGGCTCCTGGCAGAGCCTTGGCGCTTGCCGTTCTTCCTGCTTGAGGCACCTTCCTCCAGACCAGCATGTGGCCGCTGCTCTCGCTGTTGCCATCAGCTCCAGTGAGGCTGCACTGGCCACCCTGGCCAAAATTGCACCTCCCACCTGTGGCTCTCAGTGTTCTCCCCTTCGAGATGAGGGTGATGATTACATCTACTGTGTAAGATTGTTGTGAAAAGTAAATGAGATGATGAATTCATGGGAAGCACATGGAGTGGTGCCGAGCACGTGGAAGATGCTCAGGAAACGTGAGCCCTCACCACTCAGCGCACATGCTCATTCACAGCAGCAGTCTGGGAGGACACATAGCGTCCGTTTTCTACTCTGTAAACTTCTTTGTTGGAATTTTTTTCTATGAGTACATATTACTTTTGGTTTTGTTTGTTTGTTTGTTTGTTTGTTTGAGACAGGGTCTCGCTGTGTCACCCAGGCTAGAGTGTAGTGGTATCATCATTGCTCACAGCAACCTCAAACTCCTGGACTCAAGGGATCCTCTTGCCTCAGCCTCCCAAGTAGCTGGGACTACAGGCACACACGACTATGCCTAGCTAATTTTTTTTTTTTTCTGTAAAGATAGGGTCTTCCTATTTCCCAGGCTGGTCTCAAACTCCTGGCCTCAAGCAATCCTCCCGCCTTGGACTCCCAAAGTTCTAGGATTACAGGCATGAATACCCAACCTACTTTTGTTATTTTTTAAAGTTAGTAACTAGTAATGTTTCCTGCACATCCAGATTTCTGATCATGTAAGCCACTATTGAAAAAACTGGATTTCAACCCTTGACACTTTGACATTTTTCAATGTGTTCCCTATTTAAAGGTAACAGATTGTGTGCGGTTTCAGCCCCCACTGCAAAGCGGTACCTCCTGTCACACATACTCCTTTGTTTTTGTTTCAGTTTCAAGGCTTGCCTCATGGATAGAAATTTTTTCAACTTTTTAATATAAAATTTTAAAAATATATAGAGAAA